CTCGTCGGTTGGGGGGGGGGGGGGGGCCTCATCTCACAATGTCGCTTGGGGCCCCAAGTGGGCCAGGGGCGGCCCTCATCGTGAGTTATTCTCTCTGCTCACCTCCCCCCTCCATCGTATCCTCACTCCCCCCACGCCGGGGATTATGCAACACTGTGCAGGGCTGTCAGAGGAGTGAAGGGAAGACTGTGTGTATGTGAATATGGTGTGTTTGGAGTAGATGGATTGAAAAAGAAAGAGAGATAATGAGCAAAAGCAGGGAAACACTTTATAAACCTTTCCCTTTTTCTTCCTTCTTAAAAAGTTCTCTCACTACTCTTCCATCAAGGACGTCTACAAGGACACTAACCACATTTTCTGTTCTGTTATTGGCTGTTTCGAGTAGAGCCTTAAAGAGACATTTTTTAAACTTGTTTTTTGGCAACCTCCTCCAGCTCTGAGAGACTGTGTTGGTGAGCTCTTACCTCACACTCATGAATTTCCCACAATGCCTTTAGCCCTTCCTGAAATATTTATGGTGAGCGGTCATAGCGTTACGGGTTGGCACTGGGTGCTGTTCCTATTCTGTCCCGGACTCCGAGGCAAGGTCACAGTGACGTCCTGCTCTACGTTAGATATTGATCACTTTTGTTCAGCCACAGTGTATTATTAGATACAACACTTCAGCATATAACCCCACACTCTCTGATGCAAGTGGGGTCATGGTCTTTTAATATGTAGGCTGGAGGTTGTAGTCTTTAAAAATAGTATTTGAGTGCAGATGAGCTGAAGTAGTACTTACAATTACTTCACACCCTCTTTTTAGAGATGTATACTTGTTTGTTTGTGTGAAGAGAGGGACATAAAAGAGGGGCAGACATGCAACACCTCTATAAAAGAGGCCCTATTTTGCTTTTGGGGGTTTCCCTTTCCTGTAGTGTGTTATACAGGGATTTGTAAATGGTCTGCAAAGGCTAAAACGCCCCCATTGGACTCCTTTGTTAACTTCCGGGACATAGTGACATCACAATGTAACACTTGTGCTTTTATTGGCTAGCGCTCCAACACATAGTACATGAAAGGCTAAGGGGCTGGACATCTCTAAGCAGTTTACCAAAAACAAAACTGGCCAGCTAACCAATCAGAGCAGACTGGGCTTCAGACAGAGGGTGAAAAGAGGTGCTGCAGAACAGGCAGTATGAAAAAAGTAAAGAGCTTTTTGAACATTAAAGCATGTAGACATGTCACAGTAGAGGCAAAAAATACAAATCTGAAAATGTATGATGTATGTGGCTGTCGCTCTTATTTTTTTTTTATGTTATCCTTTAGCATTTAAAAACATCTTTAAATAAACCCCTGCTTTAGAAATAGTAAAGTATATGCTACACACCTTGTTAGTTTGACGTCTTTTTCCCAGTTTTCTAAGCTTTAAAACCATATTTCCTGGATCACAACCTACTTCACATACATTTGTACTTCCCTTCCTCACTGACAAAAAAAAAAACCTCCCTGTAGTAAGTTCACCCATTGTTGTAGCTACAGTGTTTCTATTATAAGATCAGAGCGCTGAATGGAGCAGGAAGTGCTCACAGAGAGGGGCGCACAAAACTACATGCACACAGAAATATAAACGTTTATATGTTGATGTGAATTATTTATTTAGCCGTTTAGCATTTCCAAAAAGCATTATACTCAGTGCTGCTTCATTTCCCCAAAATACTACTAGTATTACAGACGTGTAGTTTGGTACAGTGGCTTATCATTTGTGGTCAGGTTCAAATTGATCTAAATGCAAAGTTAAAATGAGATTTAAGCAATATTATCTAATGATTTGACCTTGTGTAGCATCAACATGACTGTTCATGTTGAAGCTACACTGACTTTACTGACTCTCCGTACTATATTGCGAAGAAAATACAATGAAGAAAATACGTCCAGTTGTACCTATGATGTCTTATGGCTGCTTCGCCTCAACTTAAAGGGGACCTATCATGCAAAATGCACTTTTGTACGTCTTTTATACATGAATATGTGTCCCCGGTGTGCAGGGACGTGCACAGACATTTGGAGGGGCTATTGCTCTAAACTGGAAAAAGTGCCTCCCCCCCGAAAATAGATATAAGACCAAAACGATTATTAAATTAACTAATTTGAACAGTAATTCACATCATCATCTCATAACAAAATAAGCTAAGGCTACTACTTGCATTCAGTGACTTGATTTTTAAAAGGAAAACCAGTGACATTTTTTGTTTTGCGGTGCATATCTCATTAAAATATCTAATGATAGAAACTAAAGAAAAAATGGGGACAATTCAATGTAGTTTGACCATTGTAACTGCTGTGCAGACATACTGATAAAATAGGGCTTCTATAATTATTAATGAAACCAGTTCAATACGCATTATTCTTATTCTTCTCATTCTTCATGAGCACAGCAACGGTAAGGTATCTAATTATTTATTCATTTAGTATTCCATAACTTAATAACAGAGATGGTCAAATTAAAGTAGAGACATGGCAGAAATCCTACAATGAAGCGGGCAGTGAACTGTTCTCCTGAGAGAGGGCGATCAAGAAAAGAGAGGAAGTAAAGTCCCATAAGAAAACTCAAAATCCATTTTCCAAAATCCGACACCAATAGGCCTACAGTAGCCTGTAATAAATATTAGAAAAATGAAGCTGGTGTGTTTCCCGCAGCGAGACACTACAATACTAATTGTGGGCTTATCATGTTGATTCGACCACAACAGAAAGAAAAAAAAACAGGTCAGCCAAAAAGGGAAAACGGGCCGTTGCCCGGGCAACATTAGCCCGTACCTGTGCACGTCCCTGGGTTCTGGACTGGTGCTTGTGGAGAAAGCAGACTGCTCCGTGTTTGGAGTTGCTGTGCCGCTGTCAGTTCTGTTCCCTGATCTCTGCGTCACCGACCCATTTGATATTCGTGTGACAGAAAAACAAAACAAAAAAACGTTATTGTCCAGCCGCGGCCGGAAGATCAGGAAGCAACGTTACTATGCTATAATCGATTATGTTCTGTCGCTGCATTGATGCAGAATTGTCCACGTCCGCATCACGATGCATCGTAGAAACGATTAATTTCAACACCCCTAACGTCTTTTACTCAGAAAGTTTTTTTATTTAAAATAAGCAACTTCTGGGGTCTTATTTTTTTTTTTAGTCATGCCAATTAACACAACAGAGCAGCAATGTGACCTTTCATTATACTTTAGAAGACTGGATTTCTTGAACTTAATATTTCATTTTTATTTAGTCTTGAACTTGGCTAACCAGATGAAAGCAACCATGACATTGCAAGAATTTGTTCGGAAACTTTGAAGTTTAAGATGTAAGGAAGGCAAAGTCTTTTTTTATTTTTTTATAAAAAAGCCAATTTCACTGACTGAAGTAAAATAAGTGTCCGACCAAGGTGAAGCAGGTTATTACAATTAATTAAAATTATTTATTTCACTCAGTCTGACGGCCAACTGAGTAGATTAGTGTTACCATCCTTCTTGTGACAGAAACAGCTGATTTGACCTCAGGTTAGGTTTAGTTTAGCGATAATAGACAAGATTTCTAAAGAGCAAATACCATGGTTTTGTTGCTACAGTACGCATATTTAGTGAAAGGCTAGTGAAATGTCCTTCGCGAAACTTCCATTAAAGATCTAATGTGTAATGTCTAATGCTCAAGATAAAAAGGACATATCGTTTGAAGCCTGTTTCTTCAACCATGCATCTACTTGTACCACTTAGTATCAGACAACAATATGGTGCTCGATGTATTAGTCAATCAACACAATGCAATTCTAAACAGCAAGTTGCAACTAAAAGGTTGAAATGCACCTCTTTGAATTCAACTCTTAGATACCACACATGCATTTTCAGAGGGGTTATGGCGCAGGGTCAGCCAGTGTGCAGCTCTCCTCAGGCAGTTTTTGGGGGTTCTGTGCGCTTGAGCAAGGCTATTCCTATTATTTTGGTAGAAAACACAAGATTTATCTTTGACCACCTTCAAATATCCCTTCCAAGTTCCTGTATACCTAGTAGCTATCTCACATTCTATCCCACGCCAGGCGAATACCTAAAGTGCTTGACAGCTAAACGGATTCAGTCTGTTTAGTGGTGATGGATCTTTTATGTCACAAACTCCTGTTCATTCTCTTGAATGAGGCACAGTGGGTCAGGCACAGAGATGCCAGGCTCTTCCGCTTCAAAGAGCCGCAAGCCTTTGAAGTCCCCGTCACATTATTAGTGTTCCTGAAGGAGCTGCAGCAGAATGTATCAACTACCCAGTGGTGCTGGGTGGAGGGAGAGTTTCTCCTGTTCTGCTCTGCAGGTCCGGAGGTTTCCTGCCATGGTGGTTAAGTTCACAATGTGAAAAGGGTTTCTCAAGGTTTTGCTATTCAATGCATTATTCATTAAAGTTTGGTTTGAATTATGGTGGGTTTTAAAGCTTTTTGAATAAACCCCTTCAGAATGTGACTTACAGTAAATCTACTTAATGTTTACATAGAGTTTACACGGAAAGTGTGGGAAGACTGTGAAGAAGCTCAGTCATTCAGGTCATGTAGAAGTGCTAAGACAAAAGCAGCTGGACTTACTTTAGAATCCTGAAAGAATCTCAAAGAATAGAACGTCTAAAAAAACAGCCCAGTTGCCTTTGACATAGAATTTCTACATTATGCTAATGTTTTAGCTGCCCTTTAAGGAAAATACAATTTGACATCAAGCATTATTGTCCTAAAGTAGCTAAGAATTAATATTTTGAGCAAGTACTAGTCACATTTCTGACCGCGGCTTATACAGAATTAGTGTTTCACCATAATTATATTCCTCTTGGGTTGGGAAAACCATTTAAACTGTGTGATTCTCAACTAAAACTGCAGCAAATTACAATTAATAATCATTCTGGAGTTAAGCTCTCGTTATGGCAATAACTGGAAACTCTTGCATATAAATCTATACATGATATTGCCTTTAGACCCACGAAGAGGCATCATTCTAGTATTACAGCCCATGATTTCCGAACAGCCTCCGACACCTGAGGGCACTCATATTTTTAAGAACAAACACAGGACCCACCCTTGCTATTCGGCTTATATAATATCTATCGCTGTATGTGAAATCCTGTCCTCATCACCACTTTCTTCTCCTTCCTATGTAGGTGAGCCCAGTGGCAGGCCCTGTGGAGGGGGGCACCCTGGTCACCATCCAGGGCCTGAACCTGGGTTTATCCTTCTCTGAGCTGGAGGGGAACGTGGAGGTGGCGGGGATGCAGTGCACCCCACAGGAGGAGGGATACATTACTGCAGAACAGTAAGAGAGACTCCTCCCCTCCCCTGCCCAGATACGCATGAAATCAAACTGTACTGTACACAGGCATACTGTACAGATGCAAACGGAAGCAAAAAAATACAATCTCTTGTCTATTGCACAATTTTTTCTCACAGTCAATAACAGAATCTGTGATAGGCTTGAGCCCAGAGATGCCTCATCAGGTTGTAGGATTGTGTGTGTGTGTGTGTGTGTGTGTGTGTGTGTGTGTGTGTGTGTGTGTGTGTGTGTGTGTGTGGTGTGGGGGGGTGGGGGGGGGGGGGCTTTGCATTGCCGTGGTTGCAGTTCACAGCCGTGGTGCAGTCACAGCCAAAGGAAGAGACAGTCTTTGTGTCGTTGTCGTTATGAGGCTGTCGGCACAGCTGTAATTGAAATGCGCTGCATGTCGCTGACTGGAGGGACAATCTGTTAGCCATGTGTTTCTCTCACAGCCATGTAATGCGATTGGGCTCTGGCTACAGGGTCTTTATTTATATCCTTGTAAAAACAGGAGGAAAAAAGAAAAGGAAAAGAACATGCCAGCAGAAAATTGGAAAACTCTCGTGATGTATGAATAGAAGGGATGGGCAGGGAGGATTCATTGGGTGCTCTTATTGTAAAAGGGGGAAAGCAGAGTTCCTTGCGCAGAGCAGTGCATTTGCAGGGCCATTCATTTGGCATGCACAGTGCTTTAAAACACGGCATTACAACTGTTACAACCATTCATTTCAGCATGGGGTCAGTTGCTATAATGACTTATTCATGGCACACTTTATCTTATTGACCTGACAGGAAATACTGACTTATTGAAGAAACCCCTATGTTGTCATGGAAACCGGAGGTAATGGTGGGTGGCAATCGTGCTGGAGATGGAGAGGGGTGCAGTTTATCATTTGAGTTATATTGCTGTTATAGGTTTCCCATTAGGAAGAAAGATGGCCCTCTATATTGACCCACAACTTCTATGAAAGTCTGCTTCAATCACACTGGCCAGCAGAGGCCATCTCCCCACTGTGCAGTTGATAACAAATGTGATACAGTGCAGTGATTCTGCAGTCTGGCGTGTGTTATTACTTGTATGCAAAGTGATCTGTTGCACGCCTGTTGTTTTATGCACCTTCATTTGTGTATTGTGTCTTGACAGGATTGTGTGTGAGATGGCAGCAGCTCCTAAAGGAAGTGCTCCAGGTCCAGTTAAGCTGTGCATTGGCGAATGCAGACCAGAACTACGCACACAGTCCTCCCAGCTCTACTCCTTTGTGGTAATTCTGAATATGAAAAACATTTACTTTGTCAATTTGTGCCAAAGCAAACATCAAGTGTTTGCAATGAATTAGGCTGAACATGTGATTGCAGGTAGAAAGCCAGAAAAACTATTTAATTCATCCACTGCAATCATAAACTAGAGAGGAAGATAGAATAAGATAATTCATTTTTTCTGAGTGCAAGAGATTGTGCATAAGAGCGTTCATCCTTATTACAAAAGTATTTCTTATGGCTTGTTCACCTTCTGCACGATTTTCATTACATGGCTAATCAAAAGTATGGTGTTGTTTATTGCATTCAAGCCAAGACTGATTTGTGTTTGCTTTTGAAGGGCAAAGGTATTATTAAAAGGAAATGTAAGTAGGGGTTATTAATGTGACCGACAGGTGCAAATCCGTTTCAACGACCCAAAACATTTCCATTGGAAGAAACGTACTTAAGTTTAAAAAATAATGCAGATAAAAGAAACACAAATGTGCCAAAACATTATAAATGATATGATGTCTTTTTTTTTTTAAATAAGCTCTTTTGTCTACTTTTTAAAAACAATTTTTTTGTTAATTTTTAGCGTTTTCTTCTTATAGAGACAGCCGTATTCTGTGTTTGATCTTTGGTGAATAAAACATAATTCATTTTGGTTCTCCATAGACCCCTTCAATGCTGGCTCTGACCCCAGGCAGAGGACCTGAATCTGGGGGCACCAAGGTCACCATTGTGGGGGAGAATCTGGGTGCTGGAAGCACTGTAACCGTGTACTTTGGGAATCAGACCTGCGAGCTGTACAGGTAAGTCTGATGATAACACAACTTCCTAATGTGATATTTAATCCTTTAGAGAGGCAATGGAAGTGCCTGCACACAGTATCAAAGCCTTCTTTAATCTCTACGAAACAGAGTAAAAGATCACTCTATTTAAAGAAGCGCACTTAAGATGCAATTAAGTGTTGGTGGGATACATGAAAAGTCTTGTTGGCGGTGGAGAGACCCACAGCAGTAGGTATTGTTCTCTATGTATTTATAGATATCTATTTAAAGTTCAAAATGCTCACATGGTAGGAGTCAGGAGGTTGAAGCGAGGGAGCCATTAGCTAGAGCACCCTCTAATTACGGTGTTCCATCCCTAATGTGTCTGTAAAGAGGAAGGGAGGGGACTGGCTGTAATGAATCCTCTCGTTCTCGTGTTAATTTGCATGGTTTAAAACTGCGTGAAGTCAGGGGTATGCAACCGCAATAATGAGTGGGCAGTCAAAATTGAAAAGATGTGTAAACCGCTCTTTTGATGCTCCCCTCAGGAGGAGCATGTCGGAGATCGTGTGCTTCTCTTCACCGTCCGTGACGAAAGCCGGACCGGTGCGAGTCAGTTTGAGTGTGGACCGGGCCAACGTTCCTGGGAGTCTGGCCTTTGAGTACATAGAGGACCCCACAGTACAGCGCATTGAACCCCTGTGGAGCATCACCAGGTAACACAACGCATCATAGTACCGTGTATACACAGTAACCAGCCACATGTGGTCTTATTGCCTAAGAAAGTCCACGAATGCCCACAAAATGGTAACAGAGCACCTTCAGCAGTTCTACAGTGCTCTCGTATGCTTGGGGGTTTCGAGTATGTTGTTAGTTTAGATTAGAATATCGTGTAGTAGTTAATGTAAGAGGAAGTGATTTGATTTAGCAGATTGCAGCTTGCATGTTGCATGTTTGATGAAGCAGGCCCCTGGTTGAATGGAGGCTCTAACAGGGTGTGAATGGGAGCTGCTCTTCATATAGCATATTATGTTGACAGTATTTGAAATGTTATAGCATATAATTCAAACCCATACAGGGTTGCTAAACAAACACTGTGCACAAGTTGCAAATCTATTTCTAGGAAGTATAACGTCAATAGTACTGCGTGGCAAACATAGATAGAAGGATGTATATATATATATATATATATATATATATATGTATATATATGTATATATATATGTGTATATATATGTACTATAGGCATTAGTAAATGGGCGTTGAGCAAAAAATATACAAGGACACAATCTTTCTATTTATCCATCGCCTTTGTTTTCTAACATTACATTTATTATTTAGTAGGACGGTCTTAGACTAAAGACATTCTAAAACACTAAGATTTCCCGATTTAATTGACAGATTTGTAAAACTACCTTTTTCCACAAAGAATGGAACAAAAACACAACTTTAACTCTTGAGACATGCTCATACACTTCTAGTAAACAAATAGAAAAACATTTTTAAAAATGACTAATAGACAACAACAACATCTTAGTCAACTGAGACCAAAACAACCAATTAGTCAGCTAATCGACTAGAGCAGCCATATAATCTAGCAGTATAATTATATAGCAGTTTTTATTAAAAATAAAAAAATATGACAACCCCCTACTGCCTACACGTGGTGGCCTGCCAAGTGCAGATTATGACAGTGCCTAGCAATCTGTATGTTGCGCAGGTTTACAGCGAGATAAATCCAAAGAAATTAGATGTTGCGGTTGTCATGTATAACAAGGTTGTTTCACAATATCAAATCAGTGTTCGAAACAACATGACTAATGTAACAAAAATTACAATCCATGTTCAAAATATAACTTTTATTAAGCTGCATGTCATTTTAAATATTAATTCAGAGTTTGATGCTGCACATTTTACAAAGATAGTGAATTTGCTACATTCTATCAAATCTCAAACTGTTTTACCTGTATTCCGCTTAATTAGAGAAATTTATGTTGGTCCGGGGTGGGATTACACAGCACTTCGTCCCTGCAGATTAGACTTCACAGAGCCACCCTGGCCCTGAGCATGGTGAGAGGAGGAGCTTTGTGGATCTGCAACCAAGAGCCCTCATCATGAATGTGCGGTCCCACTATGTGGCCCTACAAGCTTAGGTACCCTTTGAAGTGCAAGAAGAGAAGGATTGTCACTGTCAGGCTGACGATACCGGCCACTTTTTCTGAAGCCATTTTCTCCCCTCTCTTCCGTCATGTTTTCCCACACTCTTTGTCTCTCCTTCTCTTACTTTCAAATTCCACACTAGTTTTCGAAGCTCAAACTGCTGCACAGGTTATACCAAGATTAGAGAGTGTTGTTTATTTTAATCACATCGAGCACAGATATGTAAACAAGCAGCACCTGTATTCATGCTATGCCAGCCTCACAGTCATGGATGAATATAAAACAGCAGCCAGCTGGTTTGCCGTTTGATCTGGCTCTCCTGCCCAATAACAAAGAGAGAGCTACCGTGCCACCTATAGCTCCTCATACCCGCATTAATGCAGTTTCTCTGGAAAATGTAGGGTGTGAAAGTTAAAAAGATTGCTCTCTCTGCGGCCATCACTCTCACTACATTGTGGTTTGCATTCATATATGTATTGGCTACCTGGAGCTCATACAGTATGTGCATGTGTTTGATCAGTAGTTCTTCTTGCTTATGAATAAACTCCTTCCTCTCCTCCAAACAGTGGACACACAACCCTGACAGTGACTGGAACAAACCTGGATGTGGTTCAGGAGCCGCGAGTCAGAGTCAAATATGCCGGCCATGAATCTGTCAATGTGAGTGAGACAACTGCTAATATACTGCACTCAACCTGCATGGTTTTGCTTACTCAAGCTGATGTAAATGTCAGAGTTAAAGTGTTCTTCAGTGATATATTGCTATAGCAACGAGGTAGATTTATGGTTGCGGTACATGTACTACTTTTTGTCTTTACATACTTATCTGTCGTGACATCTTCACAAATGATTTAAAGAGGCTGAATGTGATCACACCCAGAGAGCTCACCTGACAAAGACAAGACGGAGAGACATTGGGATGAAAGTTAATACGTATATTACATTTCATTAAAGGGGCCCTATAATGCTCATTTTCAGGTTTCATATTTGTATTTTGTGCCTCTACCGTGACATGTTTCCATGCTTAAATGTTCAAAAGGTTCTTTATTTTGTTCATACTTCCTGTGCTGAAGCACCTCTTTTCACCCTCTGTATGTCCTTTCCCTTATCCTATGACCTACAATGTGTTAGAGCACTAGCCAATAGAAGCGCACATGTTACATAGTGATGTCATTGTGTTACGGAGGTAAATGTCCAATGGAGGCGTTTCACGCAGGGAGGGAGAGAGTCTGGGAATGAACGTTAGCCTTTGCAGACCATTTACATGCACAAAAACCTATAACACACTACTGGAAAGGGAAAACCCCCCAAAAAGCATTATAGGGTCCCCCGCAATTTTCCAATGGTAAAATAATGTTTGAACTGGTTTAGTTTTAAGGATAAATGACTATATTCCTAAAGAAAAACCTCCAATCTCTGTGTCAAACAGCCTGTAGGGTGGAGAGCAAATTAACCATCAACACCTTGAAATACTATTACAGAATATAATAGGCTGTAGTTTGTCCTGGATGTGGATATAAAAATGAAGCCACCCATAAACAGAAGGGTTGGAGGGAGGTGGCATTTAGATCAGTCCAAAATGAGTTTAAAAAAAAGCTGACATGAAAGTGCACCTCGGGTTTGGGAGGTGATTTATTGTGCTGACTCTGCTTGCCTGAGGAGCTAAGGCAGGTCCTTTCAAAGTGATTGATTGTTCCAAAGTGTTGAAGCCCCGGTGGCATAAGCCCAGTCACCTTTAGCCTTTATTTTTACACTTTGGACAAGTCAGGGAATTGCCCGAGGATCTGAGACTGCACACTGGCTGAAAACGGGTCGAAACTTTTGGAAGGAACTTTTTTAGCTTGACCTTGAAATAGATCGATATATGTTTCTAAAAATCTATTCTGAAGAGAAAACGCCAGAAATAGTGAAGTGATGCCAGAAATTGAGTGATAATAGTTTGCTTGTACCAGCTGTAGATAGATTTTTTAAATACATCTTTTCAAAACAAAGATAGAAGAGAAGGTAAATATGATATGAAAGTGTTACATATTTATTGCTGCCACAATAATACAATCAAACACTAAATGTAATAAAGACACAAGTATAAGAAAACCAAGATGTGGCATATGAAAACTTTAAATATATTTGAGGAAGAGTTGTTTTTCAAAAGTGAGATGTTTTGTTTTTGAGGTATGCTCTGAGCTATAATTAAATGGCGCATTAATGATGTTAGTCAAGAATTAAAGCCAGTCAATTAAAACTGTGTTTTACAGTGTCCCTGGCAGCAAGGAGATCTGAAGGGATTAAAACTGACCCTCAACCCGCATCAGCTGCTAAAAGAGGGTCATTGCAAAATGTAATGAGGGCAGTCTCTGCGTCGCGCATATCTCGAAAACATCATCGGAAATGCTTAAAAAAGTGTGTTGGATCACAAAAGGAGTTAATTGACTTGAAACAACTTTTAGTAATAGCTTAGATAAAAACTAAAGCTAGAAATTGTCCTGAAGCTAGGGGAATTTAACAATCTGCTAGATATTGAGAAGGATTTATAAGAATTGCAGAGGAAAACAGAAAGCTATTTGGTAGTAATTAAGTACCAAAGACTTAAAACAGTGGTGATTTAGGAATAAGTCCATTGAGGGAGCAAGGGATCATGTTCATATATAGAGTTTCTGCCTGATACTGGTATATAAAAACACATTTAATAGTCTCCTATTAACCTTTGACCCAGGTCTATGAATGTCTTTAGTGTCAGTACTATAGCATTAGCCCTAGCAAAGCAGAATGTAAAAAACACACGAGCAGCACAAGAACATATGAATAGCGGGGGGGGGGGCAACATACTACTGAAACAGCTCATGAATGAAAATCAGACATATATATCCTTAATCTCATGTTATGTAGGTTAACAATACAGAGACTGTCAGTATGTGTATGTTGATGGATAAGTTGAATATGATTAAAAGGCTCCATAATATTTTCAACATCTGCATGTTAAGAATGAGTAAGAATATTAAATCAACCACATACTGTATGGGCATAAAATGAGACATCTGCTCAAATCTATTCAGAAAAGTGCTTTCTAAAGAAAAATCAAGGGCACTCTTAATGTATTGCCTTGTAATGAAAATGTATTCCAATAACTAGAAGATGTTTTAAATGTAGGATTTCCAACAAAATACCTTTCTAAGGGTTAAATAATTCTGCTGAAGAACTTTCAAATACTTCTTATAATTAACCTGTAAGCAGATTAATTATTTATGTTTCTTAATAATGTGTGCAATGATTAATCATGCAGGAGACAACACAGTGAGTTTTAAATATGTGTATGAGGATATGTTTAGTCTGGTATTTTCAATACTGCATGTCTGCTTCTGGGTAATTTACTGTGAGGTGTGTAATCTTGATTTGGTTTCTGCTCCAGGTGTGCAAAGTGCTGAACACAACCACCATCAGCTGCTTCGCCCCCTCTCTGAAAGCAGAGTACACTGCAGACCAGGAGACGATCAAACACGTGGATGAGTTCGGCTTCGTCTTCAACAACGTCCAAGCTCTGCTCACCTACAACAACACAAGCTTTGTCTACTACCCCAACCCGTACCTGGAGCCCCTCAGTCTGACCGGGGTCCTGGAGCAGAAACCTGGAGCTCCAATCATACTCAAAGTACGTCACAGCTGCTACTGCTTTTATGCTTTATTTTTATAATTTCCATGCAAGAGGGTATTCTGAAGTCTATAACCATCTGCACTGACATAGGAATACATGTACTTCATTTACTTTGTACTTTTGTATTCATTTATTTGAATTGCTTTACTGCACACACTGTAAACACACAACACATCAGTTGACTACATTTCTGTTTTTCTGAAAAACTACATTTCCGAATATGCTCTCTGTGAACTCCAATAAGTGGCTAATTCTTGTAGTTTCTTGGAAAGATTTTTCTTGCCTTTCAGTTTTACACCATGTGTAATGGTCATTGGATAGGTGTGCCATCATAAAACAGCGTATTTCGTTGCATATTGCATTAGTTATTTGCTTTTATTGGGTAAAATAATGTTGCTGATATCCTGCATATAATATAACGTATGTATGATATTCTGCATATAATAATATGTTGGCAGTGTAGATCGCACCTTAACTTCCTGCCATTCTCTCCAAGATGGTTGATTACAGTAATCATACTAATTACCCATATTTGCATATGCTATAGGAATTACATAGAAAGCAAATGATCACTGTGAAATTATGCTTCAAAACAGAACCCTTAGAAACAATGAGGAACATTTCAATAGAGCATAATGTATTTAGTCCTACATTTGACCTTGCCATTGTTTGACATTCACTATTTGACTTCCTATTTTTTTTTGTCTTAGGTATATTGTATGTTACACTGTTGAAAATGTTCATTGCAAACAACTATGGTGTAGACATTGAGCATATAACCATAAAGCCTTTGACACTTGGATTCTACATATATTTACTGTACTGTAGAAACATTCTCATAATGATCAAAACATTGTTTGAATAGTCCTATTAAATTGCTATGTCATATTAGTTGTGTTGTCAAATGTTATGTTATTTTTGTGGATCTTTTTTACATGTCTCCTCTAACTGTGTTGCAGGGACGTAACCTGGTGCCGTCTGCTTCTGGTGGAGCCCGGCTGAATTACACGGTGCTGATTGGAGACACGCCCTGCACCCTCACTGTGACCGACACTCAGTTACTCTGCGAGCCACCCAACCTCACGGGGCAGCACAAAGTCCTGGTCAGTCTATGGAGCGTGTCCCTGTATTGTGGTTTTGTGAGCATCTGATGGCCTGTCATTGAGGATGTGGGTCACTGTTCATACGTCACTATGTTTGTGGGTCACTGACAGGCTTTCAGTTTGTCGCTGGCTTTCTGTCATTGTCTGTCACTCATGGTCTGGTGGGTTCCCAATTACATTACATTGCCCAGCAAAATTATTGACAGGCACTCCTGCAAATAATGAGAAAAAAGCTGTAAAAAAAGAAAGCTGATGTGCCTGGAACTTTTAAAAAAGGTTTCCTTTCAAGGCGATTGTTCAGCAAAGTGGTCCATGTCTCTATTGTATGTGCCAATTCAATGCTTCAGCAACAATGTTTTGAATTCAGGTCAGCCTTTTCATTAGTGGTGTTTTTTGTTGCTTTAGGATTTTCAACACTGTTTTGAAATACCGTGCTTACGTCTCCATTATTAATAATATTTTTCAGGTCCAAGTAGGAGGACTTCACATCTCTCCAGGAGAAGTTCACATCCGGTCCGACAGCCTTCTCACTCTTCCTGCCATCTTCAGCATCACAGCTGGAGGAGGGCTGCTCCTCATCATCGTCATTATCGTCCTGCTGGCCTACAGACGGAAATCACATGAGAACGATCTTACTCTGAAGCGCCTGCAGATGCAGATGGACAATCTGGAGTCCCGCGTGGCTCTGGAGTGCAAGGAAGGTGAGGGAAACTGATCCAAGAGAATAAACTCTCAGAAATCCAGAAAAAAGTGCATAATAGCACCATATGTCGAGAACTGTTGATGACTGTGTTTAACAAAATGATATATTTGTGTAAGATATAATACTTATTATATATACATTGTATATGTATATTGGCTCAATAATACTTGAATATTCATTAATTATAACGTTAACGAGCAACTTTTTGGATATCTGTATTCTTAGTTGCAACAAGTTGACAAAAAATTATCAAAATCAAAATGAAATATATGCTGTAAGATCATTATGAACAGTGCTAATTACTATTGAATGTATTGTGTAATGTCATGTGAAACTCTACATTGCCATGCTTCCTGAATTCAATACAAGCACTACTCGTCATACTTGTACTGTTTTACAACCATTTCAATCAGAAACAGTTGGGAATGAAAAATACTGTCTTAGGTTTGCTGTGATAAACAGATCAAAGTTACAACATGTTGTTAAAAATGTTTAAACCCTTACCTCTGTCATATGTAGCTTTTGCAGAGCTGCAGACAGACATCAACGAGTTAACCAGTGATCTGGACAGAGCCGGCATACCTTACCTCGACTATCGCACTTACGCCATGAGGGTTCTCTTCCCCGGCATCGATGATCACCCAGTGCTCAGAGAGCTGGAGGTAAGAAACCTCTGAAGCACGGCTGCTGCACTCGAGTCAACTTTCAAAAAAATTTCTGGCATCTTGACCTTAAGGCTCTAGTATACTCCAAAATGAATTCATTTTGGCTTGTTGGCAAGTGCTGTCAAACTGCTGTCGAACAAGCAGTGTGAGCAAATGTCAGTGTACTCACTGTGCTTGTAGTTTGGTTTGTTTATTGGCTACATCAGCTGGATTGTGGGCAGATTTTTGGGGTTTTCTACATCCCTTAGTCTCAGGCTGGAGCCACACGAGGATGATAACGCAAACGGACCGAAATCAATATCAAAAAGGTCTTCTGTCCACACGCAATAGGCACCAGAAACGTGTCCGTTCACATGAGACCGCTCGAAAGCGCTGGAAACGCTGTAGTGCATATGCCGGGCCTGTAAGTGGCGCTGTACTCCTGCCACAAAAGCAGCGAAGAAGACTTCCCGCGCATGGTTGCCATGGTTGCCATGGTTGCCATGGTTGCTCTTCTGTTTATTCTCCGCTCTGGCTCTTTTTCTCCCTCCCCGAGGCAAGCGTTTGCTCCTGCTGTAAATCTCTCCGGTAGTCCACCAGGAGATGAAAAACACCCACCTCTCCGCCTCTTCCAAGGAACGAGGGGTCCGTGCGGCAGAGTTTCAGTTAGATTTTTTTTCGCCGGTCAACATCTCCGTTAAAGTTTAAATCTTCTGGACAAAATTAGAAAAGTGCCGGTCAGAGGTCTTCTTTGTTATTTATTGAGATTTAAAACAAATTGATAACGACTCTGTACTAATAAAAAACGGAGCCTCTCTTTTCCTTCCCCTCTTCTGACAGCCCAGCAGCTGATCTCTGAGCAGGAGAGGTGGGAGAGGCGGGGCTATTGCTTCATCGTTATCAGGAAATGATCGTATAGGCGTAAACACGGAGCCGTTTGCCCCCCCAGAGCGTTTCGTTCGCAGATCTACCCACCTTGGGACCCGTTATCGTTATCGTTTTATGCGTTTCCATGTCGGCCTCGTGTGGCCGAACCGTCTGACTCTATATGATTGAGAACTGTAGCGGATATGACCGTTATCGTCCTTGTGTGGCTGGGGCCTCAGTCATGCACATATTTTGAGGAAAACTCATCTTGTTCACTTGGACTATTGCTTTTTAAAATTCAAATCTCCGATCAAAATATTCTTCGACACCTGTTCAGTAATGCTGGCATGTCATATTTCGCACTGGTCTAGTGTAGCGTTTCTTGTCTTTTCAAAGAACCCTTATAGATATTATCACATTTCATACTAAAAGTACCGGGTTTTAAAATGTTCTTCAACGCGGCCTCCGGGGTTTAGTTCTACTTATTTCGAAGAACCTCTAAACAACCAGCCATTTGCTTTTTCATTATTTGAACAATATTTCCTATGTGCTCAATGTCAAAATTAAGCTAGTGTTTCTAATTAGAGTTGGTTCAATCAAGCAGTTATGTTCACAATGGTTTCAAAAGATTTTTTGAAGGAGCCTGTCTGATTGCATCTTAAGCATCGTCCTATTCTTCTTCCTCCAAATAAATAAACGTGTCTTTTATTTGTAGCAGAAAATAAAGAATCGTTTGTGTTTTTGATTAAATTCTTGAGGGAATTTAAAACTATAAACCACAAGTTTCTATGTTGGGGGGTTCTGCTCTTCAGCGGTTCTGTTTTTCTTTTATGCCTTTAGATGGTTCGTGAGAATTCCTGTAGATATTTATTCGGTCTTCATGTTCCTCTGTCCACATTATGACTTCTCTCATCCTTCAATGAGCATTATCTAATGAGCATGTGCTTCTTTGTGTCTGTGCAAAAATGCATGATGCGTGTAGGTGCCGGGGAGCGGACAGGCGAATGTGGAGAAAGCCTTGAAGCAGTTTGCTCAGCTGGTGAATAACAAGGTTTTCCTGCTGACATTCATCCGCACACTGGAGCTGCAGCGCTCCTTCTCCATGCGTGACCGCGGCTACGTTGCCTCGCTCATCATGACCGCTCTGCAGGGGCGGCTGGAGTACGCTACTGACATCCTCAAACACCTGCTCTCCGATCTCATAGAACGCAACCTGGAGAGCAAGAACCACCCCAAACTACTCCTCCGCAGGTAAACCAGAATTACTACACTGCTGCTAAAAGTTGAGTTTCAAAAAGCTATTTATTGTAGCCTTTTGGAAAAAATGAATGTTCATTATAATCATCTAAGGAGGAGTAAAGATATGTGACTTAGGAGGCTCAGTTTAGGCTTTCAGACAGCTTATTTGCAGTTGCTGAGAAAATGAAAGGAGCCCTATTATGTTCGTTTTCAGGTTCATATTTGTATTATGTGCCTCTACTCTACTGGGACATGTCTCCATGCTGCAATGCTCAAAAAGGTCTTTATTTGTCTCATACTGCCTGTTCTGCAGCACCTCTTTCCCCCCTCTGTCTGAAACCAGAGCCTGGTCTGCTCTGATTGGTTAGCTCGACGGCTCTGTTGTGATAAGTCAGCCCCTTAAAGATGTCCGCCCCTGAGGCTATCACGTACAATGTGTTGGAATGCGTTAGCCAATAGAAGCGTGAGTGTTACGTAGTGATGTCACTATGTTACAGAAGTCAACTAAGGACTACAGTACAATGGGAGGCATTTCAGGCAGAGGGGGGGGGGGAGTGTGTGGGAGAGAAACTCTCCTTTAATTGTTAAGCACATCTGTGTAATAAGTAATTTATATCTACAAGCATTCCTTGTAAATTTCAGGAACTTAAAGTAGAAGCTATTTTTCCCTTACTTTCTCCGTCCATATTTTTCCAGTGTGGTCAGAGGATTTAACCAAGAGAGACCTTTTCTATCTCAAATCTGCCAGGTTCTGATCAACACTGCTTATCTTTCAGCATAGATAATACTTTTGTGCATTGTTCTTTCCAGCCCAGTTACGGCACTTCTGTTGGATGAGTAACTAGACCAGTGAAGGAAAGCCCACCTCTGTTGAGCTTTGTTTTGTTCAGCGGCGTGAAACAGCCGTTAGGAGTCTGAGGAACAGGTGAAAGAGACAGGAGAGGTAAAGTGAGTGAGAGTGGGAGGGACTGGCAGAGGAAGAGAACCTAATGTGGACGAGAGTGCAGCGGCGGCATGGTCTATGTCAGTCTAAATTATCTTCTTCGTGCCACTCATGAAACATTCAGTTCTAGCTCACGTTTCTTCCCCCCGTCACCTCTCATGTCCTCCGTTCTCTCGCCTCTCCCCTTCACCTCTGGATATCTGCAGATTGTTTTCCTAGCTGAGACTGGCCTACTGAATGTTTCATGAGGTTTATTTTTTCCTTTCTTTCTTTTTTGAAAAAGAGGGCTTTCTAAATCTGAAGCAGACTCATTAAATATAAGGATGGGTTCACATGGGAGCAGGTACAACAAGAACTTGTTAGCCCAAACATGCTACTCTTGCGGAAACACCACAATTTAATGGGATGCCGTTAACAGTCGAGTCAATGCAGGTTAGGCTTGAAATGCAGGTAAGGACCGAAAAAAAGAGTGGCAGACAGAAATTAGGTTAGGTAAGGGAAACAGAGCGGTGTCTATAAAACTGCAGGAGTTGAATCAGATTCAGAAGAGCCTTTACAGCTTTCCCATCTGGGCTCGTGAAGTAGCTAAGTGCAGACACAGCAAGGAAGAAAAGTAAAAGGGCTTGAAGTGGACATGTCATGACTAGGGGTGCACCGAATGGGAAATTCTTGGCCGAAACCGATACCGAAAATAGGAAACAGTTGGCCGAAAACCGAATGCCGAAAGGCCGAAAATGATTAATAGAAATATATATATATAATGTATACATTTTTTACCAATGTTGTTCAGCTACCTGATTATGGAAAAAGACATGATTATGGCTAAACACTTAACTTAAATAGTAATCACTATTATGGGTCCATAAAACATTTATTCAGCACTTTTGAATGCATACAGTACATTCATTCCAAGTCAAGTGCATTTTCTCTGTAGGATAACTACAACAAAGTGCATTCAGAACAAAGCCAAGGTGCATAAACATCTAGGCCAGTAGGCCTGCAACAAAATAGTGTAAATAAAGACTGTAACAGCCAGGCCTTCAACAACAACAAATGCACCTATAAGTGCATGCATACAAATGTGCAAGCTGGATAAATCCACATGAATGTAACTATTTACAAATGAAATTACAATTCAATTTCAAGAATCTGTAAATAAGGCTGTCTGTCCTCATAAGCAAAGTAGTAAACATTGTATAAAGATACATAAAGTGAAAACTGGATACAAAATCCACAACCAATTACAAATTAAATTACAATTTCAAGAATCTGCAAATAAGGTGGTCTGTCCTCATGAGCAATGTAAACAACATTGTATCATTTAGATACCGAAAGTACAATATATTGAACACTGTGCTGCTGTCATTTCCCCCTAATGATAACCTGAGATGGTGAATTATAACTCACAATGAAAATTGTTCAGGAAAGTGGGTATAGAGTAGACATGTAGAACTAGATAAACTTATGATAAGCCAGCCTTGTCTACTTATTAAGGAAAAGTGGGAGGTTCTTTTTAATGAACAGTAGCTTCTCTGCTTTATCAGCCATAAGTCTGTTCCTCTTCTCATCAAGCACATGAGAGGCAGCGCTGAACAGTCTCTCGCTGTCAGTGCTTGTGATTTGATCTTACTCCGCATATTTGTCCGGGTGTTTTGATTTCAAGTGGTGGAGTAATCCCGAAGTGGTGAAAGTCTTTGCAGTTACACCCCTTCGAGAAATGTCAGCTGAACACGTTTTACAAATCGCAATCCGCGCCTCTTTCTCTGATATTTTTAAATATCTCCAAGCGGCAGACATGTTGGCTGTGAGCCAGCCGCGAGCATGGTCGCGCGCCGTGCTTGTCGCCGCGTTTTGATTACGTCATCACAACAACACGTTAGCTTACCAACGTAACCCTGTTCCCTGACATTCGGTGATATTTTTCGGCCGAAAGCCGAAAGGGCCTTTTTAACCATTTTCGGCCGATAATTTTCGGCGGCCGAATATTCGGTGCATCCCTAGTCATGACCCAAATACATTGTGCACCGGCGGCACTTAACTTACAGCAGACTGTATCAGAGTATGTGTCCTTTGAGACCGAGCAGCTGAGTAAGGATGGCATTTCTCTGTAAACTTTCCATGTTATGTTTTTTTGGTTTCAACAACGTCGGGCTCTTCTAACGTCTTAAATTATAAAAGAATAATCAGAGCACTGCCGCTCTCTATGGGACGCCTCTTGCTAACAAATGAGTGTGCTTTCTTCTTGTCTTGCAGAACCGAGTCCGTGGCAGAGAAGATGCTGACAAATTGGTTTGCCTTCTTGCTACACAAATTTCTCAAGGTAAAATTAAATCTCTTTCACGCCTTATCGCTACAGGTGTCAATGTGATAGACTACGACATTGCTTTTTAAAATGACTAGCATTGATTTTAGAATTGACTGCTGTTTGCTGTCATTTTAACTGTGAGATATTGATGAGTTTTATGGACATTGTGGAGGGATAATGGTTTCCTGCGGAGTCAAACTTTTGCAATTCACACAAGAGTAAAAAGCTCCATTTATCATGTTTGGTGTGCCATGCTCTAGATACTCAGTGTCATTGTCTGTGCTGATGATTACAGATCTCTCTCCTTTACTTCTTTCTCATGTCTTATATTTCTTGCTCCCACCTTTCCCTCTAATCCCTGGTTTCCCTTCCAAAACAAAGGAGTGTGCTGGCGAGCCTCTCTTCATGCTGTTCTGTGCCATCAAACAGCAAATGGAGAAGGGACCAATAGACTCAATCACTGGAGAGGCTCGCTATTCCCTCAGCGAGGACAAGCTCATCAGACAGCAGATTGAATACAAGACGCTGGTGAGTCATAACGACATTAGGGGAAAAAATGCGGAAAATAATCAACCAGATTGTCTGTATTAATTTGTGAACATTCCTCGGAAAGAGCCTTGACAGATCCAAAGAAATGTAGCATTTTGTGAATTATTTGAATATTAGGAGCTTCAACAACATGAAGGGAGTGAACAAATAACCTGAAATACCCAGATTGCCATCATGTCAAGCTAAAGAAGATAAAGCTTTTTTTTATTATCGAGAAAACAACACCTTTAACATAGTTGTGACCCAAGCCCAGAGGAAGTGCGCCGGCTGTTTAAGCACATTTTCATAGAGCAGGGTATATGCAGGAATCCCGAGGTCAAACTTAAAACCTTTTAAGACCTTTTTTAAGACCCTTTCCATACATTTTAAGACCTCATCGCCACTTTGAGTTTTAACCGGTTACATTGGCGACACACTTTACCTCACATTTACAGGGTTCATACACTTTTTCACCAATGATTCTCCATGACCTTTACCTCATTTTCCATGACCAAAAAACCTTACTCTTTCTCAGCGGTACCACTGAAAATGGTTTATTTTAACGTGGAACAGGAAAATAAGGTCTGCATATGAAACATATTGTGCCTATCTAAAACAAATCCAATAGTAGGCTTACTAGCTTCTACAGGCAAAAGCAACTAAAATCTCTCACCAGCAAAATACCTCGACAGTTAAATGCCATTTTACGTTTCATTACTATAGGATACAGTATGTATTATCATTATAGTATTACTTTTTTACTATTTTGGCGATTAGATAAAATATAAAATTATATTTGATGCAACTTTAGTTACATTTCCATGACTTTTCCAAAAACTTTGGGAAAAATATTGTTTCCCATAACTTTTCCAGGGCTGGTGACATTAGCATTTGATTTCCATGACTTTCCAGGTTTTTAATGACCGTAAGAAGCCCTTGTATATACAGTATTGATTGTCCTTCCTCACTCACTTCCAATAATTTGGACGCAAACTTGCATTTCCCCATAACGATAACGGCATAAACGGAGCTTCGCGCTATCAAGCAGCGAGCGTGCGATGTCCTGTTCAGATGGCGTCAGATCCAACGGGATGCCACAAAATAAACTACACAGAATCACACTACACACCTACGCAATGATTACATTCAGGCAGACTGTAGAATACAACCTCTTTGGACAATTTATATACTTATTGAAAACAAGCTACAAAATGTAATACCTTGGAAAATGCTGTTTAATACTTTGTAATAGCCTTAATTTTCGCTAAATTGATTTATCAACTTTTAATACTTTTTAAGACCCCGCGGACACCCTGTAGAGGCAAAACAGTTTTTTTCTCTGTAAATTAGCGTTTACTTAAAAAGAATCCTGAATAAACTACCCAGTACGAACACTTTTATAGCCCTTGTATTATTAGTGTAGGCCCCAAAGCTAAGCACATTAGTGGTACAGGTGATGTAACGTAATAGTAGCTATTCCCTGTCTAAATCTTATTGTATATATCTTTATGTAATTGTAATTTTGTTTCACACAACATCTGTGGACCCCCCAGTAATAATATTGTGACCCTCTTGGGGGTGCTGACCCCCAGGTTGAAAACCACTTATCTAGGATTTAAACTTTAGGTCAGTCTGTCTTCCCAAATAAGTGGAAAAGTAATTCAATTAAATAAAGATACATGCTTTTAAACAGCTAACAGGGTTTTATCTAAACCGGGTAACAGGGGCGCTGCGCCCTCTTACTTTCGGCGTGCACCCTCATACCAAAATGATGATGTCTGCAAAAACTGTAAAATAACTAAAAAAATATGAAAATTCTATCAAATAGACCGTCAGACAGCATAGACAGCTTTGTTTTTACCGAACTCCAACGTGGCGTTGTTGTGTGCGTCCACGGCGCTATCTTGTATACGGGTGTCATGTTTTTGCGAGAATAGATATATCTTATATTCAAGATCAGCACCACAGTTTGCCCTCATATCATATTTTTCTTGAAAAACCCCTGTATAATATAATAAGGAATACTGAGTTTCCGAAGTTCGTCGCTGGTGTATGCTTTGCAATGAAGGGAAATGCAGTAGGGCCACCTGTATACACAACATGCCCCTACTTTATACTTTTCCATTAAAATCAAGCCGGCTGGGTTCCTCCAGTAGCCCGTCAGAATAAGTTCCCCCTCAGGCTTTAGCTCCACAGCAGAGGCAGCCAGCGACAGGATGACACCTTTCTGATATCCATGTCGGAGAGTCTGAGAGGCTGTGTCTCATTACTTGTGTAATGCCCCTGCTGTAGCGGCACAGCCACATCCTGGAGGTGTGAAATTACATTTCTGGCCTCGATCCTCTCCACCAGGACAGTTTGGTGAGGAGTATGTAATGAAAGGACATTCCTAGCAAGTAACACCTTTCCCTCTACCTTTTTCTCTTACCTTCCCTGCCCCCCCCCTCTTTCTCTCTATCCCGGATCCCCAGACGCTGAGCTGTGTGAACCCAGACAATGAGAACAGCCCCGAAATCCCTGTCAAGGTGCTCAACTGTGACACCATTACCCAGGTAAAAGAGAAGATCCTGGATGCGGTGTACAAGAACATGCCGTGCTCACAGCGACCACGGGCTGCAGACATGGATCTGGGTGAGGCTGCAATCCTACTGTTGAAGACTAATTATATAAAGCTAATTGTTTTATATAGTGAGAAATAGAACATAGACTTAAAATGTGCCATGGAACATGATATGTTGGAATGATGACAGGTGGGAAGAGTACGGCTTGTAGTGGGCTTGTCAGGGGAGTTATCACAGGTGCTGCACTGAAGACATTTGACATCAACAAAGGGCTCCAAATCAATTTCCGGAAGACAACTTCCTCCTACCTGTTTACAGCCCCAACCAGAGCAACACTCAACAACACTGATGTTAAACCTTACTGACAGCTCACCTACACTTAGGCTTACGCCCACAACATGTCATCTAATTCTGAATGACTTGGCACAAATCCAGCTGACACGCACCTTCAAAGGTAGTGTCTGATTCTGCTTTGGGTTTGTAGTTTACACTTTAAAAGGAGCTCTTATAGGTGAGGGATTTGGAGAGGATCTGTTTCTTCCTTGTTGCTTTGGGTAACTTAAATCTCTGTGAAGACACTGTTTCATTTGTGTTTTGTTTGCAAAATCACAATCAAGAAAGAAATGCACGTTCAGCCGTCTTGCTACGGGTGACAGCTTGCTACATTTTAAGAACAAACTAACAGCACAAAAGTTCACCTGCAGCGCACAGGAACTTTGCAAGACAAACGATGGACATTAAAAAATCACTTAGGATACAAACATTCCCAAAATGACAAATGTCACACATTTACTATTGATTGCTTTTTCCTTCAGAGTGGCGGCAGGGCAGAACAGCGCGTGTGGTCCTGCAGGATGAGGACATCACCACCAAGATAGAGAGTGACTGGAAGAGACTCAACACACTCATGCACTACCAGGTCTGTCAATAATGTCAATACTCCACCATAAGAAAAGCATAATGAAGCTTGATGTGACTAGTGTGTGTTTTGATGAGCAATGCCAAAAAGTAAGCCCTAAACCAATGGCTGCTTTTTAAGTTTTTAATTTATTATTAAAGTAAGAATCTCCTTGATTAAAAGATCAATTATTTTGTCTACAGCATGTCAGAGAAGACTTAAAAATGTCTATTTGCATTTCTCACAGCCAAAGGGGATATACATAGATTTCTTCTGCTGTCCAAATAACGGTCCAGAATCCAAAGATTTTCAATTTCAAAATAAAAACAGTAAATCAGAACCACTTCACATTTATTATGTCATGTTATGTAATGTTGTATGTAAGGCTTGCTAGTTTGAGAAGTGACTCATGATTTGAATGATGAATGATTTTCAAATGAAATTATGAAACATAGTTGCAGATGAATTTCTTTCAATTGACTTGTCATTTCAGCTGTAGCTAATGATGAACTACAGAGCTCGTTCACTCTTACAAAGCCTTTTTTAAAAGCTGTGATTATCCAGTTGCTCAAGGGCATCACACTAGATATTGTTGATGAAGGACACAGCATTACTCATTCATATTCATATACCCTCCCCCGCCACCCCTGCCAACATTTTGTCAACCCCTTGGTCGCAGGCACGCTTAGTCAACCGAACATGCACTTGTGCTCCTGGGTCTCTCACAACATCTTTTTTTCTGCTCATAAATACGACTACACAGGTCACCAAACTCAGATGAGTCATCCTGCTCCGCTGTCAATCAAATGTCTGTCCTCACTATCAGCTTTTGGCCAAATGTAACACTCGCACACAGCAAGCATTTCAAGGCAGCATACTTTTGTTTAAACAAAGAGATAAATAAAGACAAAGGAGAACTGAATTTTTCGGCACAAAAAAGCATGTTTTTGACAAGAATCTCTATTATCTGTCAAGGAGAAAAACTATTTATCTCATTCATTTTTAACCATGGTGCCAGGTGTGGAAATATTTGTTATGTTGCTAAGCTGGATTTGTATTAGCAACATTTTACAGCTCATGCAGAACAGTAGTGTGAATTTAGCTCACGTGTCAGACAACCAAACCCAGCTACAGTATACGTATTTACCTGGGACTACAGAAATGACAAAATGTAGGACCGACACTTACACTGAGCCTCGGCTGAGCAATTTTACATTTTTAAATATAATTTTTGTTTTAATTAAAAACATTCCACAGCCAGTGAAATCAATGCAAAATGATCCATACATATTTTATAATTAAATGAGCCCTATTGTGCTAATTTTCAGGTTCCTATTTGCATTTAGTGTCTCTACTGTGACATGTCTACATGCTTTAATGTTCAAAAAGCTCTTTGTTTTTCTCATACTGTCTGTGCTGCAGCACCTCTTTTCACCCTCTGTCTGAAACCAGAGCCCATTCTGCTCTGATTGGTTAGCTGGACGGCTCTGTTGTGATTGGCCATTCGCTTAGAGATTTCGAGAACCTTAGCCTCACGTACAGTGTGTTGGAGCCCTAGCCAATAGAAGCGCCACTGTTACATATTGATGTCATTATGTTACGGATGGAAGCAAGGGAGTCAAATGAAAGTCTTTTAAGGCAGGGGGGGGGGAGTGTGTAGGAGAGAAACTCCCTCTGGAGGGAACTTTGGGATGTAACTCTCTGCAGACCATTAACATGCACAAACACCTATATATCACACTACATAAAAAGGAAACCCCCAAAAACGCATTGAAGGGCCCATCGAAGACAAAATCAAGACAACTGTGCCCTCTTAGTCAAGATGTAAAATACACACAAGTAAAGGCAAAAAATATGTGGTAGACACAGTTTTGATTCCATTTTTTGTTTAAGTTTGAAGTATAGTTAAGTGTTCTGGCTTTAAGTTTAAGCTAAGTACATTCTACAGTACGCCTTTGTAATATGAATAGGTTTAGTCCTACACTGTAGTTAAAGCTGATCAATACTATACTTTCTGTATAGTGTGATGATAATGGAGCATATATACAACTTTTGTTAAAGAATGTGTGAATTTACCTTAAGGACATTATGTATAGTCCAATTATATGTCTAGTGATTCAACTGCAGATGGACTATTCAAAAGCTTTTGAATTTAAGCTGCCATTGCTCTTGACCTACAGCTGCATTCCACTTATTCATAAAAATAATAGCCATGCCTAACCTTTGTCTTCAAGGTGTCGGAGCGCTGCGTGGTGGCCTTGGTGCCCAAACAGATGTCTTCTTTCAATATTCCTTGCTCAGCCAGCTTCCCACGCAGCATCAGTAGATACGGTCAGTGCTGTTTCAGAAAAACAAAACAAATACTTCATATTCATTCAGCTCACAGCAGTGTTGCTCCATCTGTTGCTGTCACTCATCAGTCTGTAGTAACGCACATTAGCAGATACTGTTTTACAGCACATTAAACAGAAAGAAGTGCTATTTTCAAACTTATTCATCCAGTCTTATCACTTTAGATCTATACAAACTACTGATCTACAATCAGAGAGACACATTTAAAAATACAACCAACACTTGTCTTTCATATGAGGTTTCAAATGTTTTCAAAAAAACATGATGACAACAAGAGCAGAAAGCACAAAGTGACAGAAAGTAAGGATCAGAGCCAGGATAGAAAACATGTCTTTAGTGAATGAGTGCATCATTACTATGACAACCAATGAAAGAATGGCAGCAAATGAATACACAGTCTGAACACACAGACCCAACATGTTCACTTGCAGATCACAAAGAGACAATGCGCCTTATATTCAGATCTGAAAGACAAATGTGCCTTTTCTTCTGTTATCAAACGAGATGTATTCTCTCTACAAACTACACCTAGAGCATTTTAGAATATATTTTTCTGATTATCTGACATTTGACCATCTAGGTGTGGACGTTTCCTTCCGCTCCACGCCCACCAGCCCTGACAGCCCACACTCCCGTGTGCCCATGCTGACCCCTGACATGGAGAGCGGGGTCAAGGTTTGGCACTTAGTCAAGAACCACGACCACGGGGACCAGAAAGAGGGCGAACGCGGCAGCAAGATGGTGTCTGAGATCTACCTGACGAGGCTACTAGCTACAAAGGTACACTATGGCTAGTTTGTTAGCCGACTAATGTTGGAAGTTAATGCAGCTATTCCTATATCAACAAAGGATAAGATGACTATGGGTATTGTAATAGGTGTCGCTCACAGTTATGAATCCACAGAGATTCATCACCACACGCTAATCTTTGATAAACCCTCTGTACGCTACCTGTAATATCTCAGTTAATGTTTTCTTTAGGATTTAATTGTTTCCATCTGACAGGTCGCTAACATGATGTTGGCAGTTCTGATTGAATTCCTCGTTTACGTCTCACAACTTAATACCTTTCGCAAAGTGCTTTCAGTTCATTAAAGTGAATTAACATTTTGATTGCCTTAAAGTATGTGGCAATGGTTGGCGGCACAATGACTTGACCAACAGTCTTGAGTCTGAAGTGAAAATCACAATTTCCCACAACAGTCCAAAACCCAAAGATATGAAAATATTTCATTTTCAAAAGATATAAGTGCGGCACTAGGTCTCAACTCTATGTTTTGTTTTCTTTAGGGCACCCTGCAGAAGTTTGTGGACGACCTGTTTGAGACCCTGTTCAGCACTGTGTGTCGGGGCACCGCCCTGCCGCTCGCAATCAAATATATGTTTGACTTCCTGGACGAGCAGGCCGACAAGCACGGCATCCACGACACGGACGTCCGTCACACCTGGAAGAGCAACTGGTGAGAGGGAACCTTACTTAACTTCCACTGTAGAGACATCACACTTGCTGGCAATATTTTCTATAGAACTTTTAATAAAAACAGGCAAAGCTCGGGGCCAAGTGAACAATTATTCAACCCTTAATGCCAAAGTGCCACCTTATCTTATTCTATTTCTATGCTACTCTTTGAAGAACTACCAACTTTTGTTCTATTGCACAAACTGTAACTTTATAAAGGTCACAATTAAAAAGACGAAGACTAAAATCTTCCCGTCTCTTACTCCTTTGTACACTCTACTCTTTTATTTCCCACAGCTTGCCCCTGCGCTTCTGGGTTAACGTGATCAAGAATCCCCAGTTTGTGTTTGACATCCATAAGAGCAGCATCACGGACGCCTGTCTGTCGGTGGTGGCCCAGACCTTCATGGACTCATGCTCTACTTCTGAGCACCGTCTGGGCAAAGACTCACCCTCCACCAAACTGCTCTACGCCAAGGACATACCGCATTACAAGAGCTGGGTAGAAAGGTGTGTATGTGTGTTTGCGCCCATGCAAAATCGAATGCCATTCTCAAGGATATAAAAGATTAGTGAAATCCCCACTGAGAAGTGATTGCTTGTCCTCAAGTCTCAACAGGGTCAGTTCCGAATCAGGGCCTATATTTGCATAGGATAAGGTTTGTTTTGTTTAAGGTTGTTGTTAGTGTCAGGTTGAGACGTTATTTTAGGAGACAGAAGAGGCTTGTAATTCGAGAGCCTCAGGACTCTTGACGAGATGATAATGATAGTTGTCTCTGTCATAACCTTGTCACTATGAGAGGTCGTGTCACTATTACGATGTTCTGTGTGTGGTTTGATAGTGCCTAAATACTTGTATTGTATTTGTACTACGCCAAACATTGGTTGCTATTTATGTTCTTTTTTTGACAAACCATACCAGGTTTTGTCAAAACCGGTGGAGTAATCCATTTGTCGTCACTTTTTTATCATTTACCAAGTTTACATAATTACACAGTCATACGCAGGGCTGGGAGGTTTACTTTAAAAACAGGCATTCCGGAACAATTACTAGTTATATGTAAAATAAAGGTAAATCGGCAACCTAATGCCTTGTGTCACGATTTAAAAGTAATGTAACCTGATTCCTGTGTCACTTTTGGTGTACCTCAATATCAAATGCAATTCCCATAAATGAGATAAAAGAGATATAAATGATGCGGATGATCTGGCCATCATGCTGCGTCAACCAACATGGTCAGCGGTGGAACAGGGTCTCAACCAGGACATGGGCATCTTGGCTGCCTACATGCGCATGTGGCGTCTGCAACTCAGTACTGGGAAGACTGTGTCGGCCGCATACCACCTGTGCAACAGAGAGGCAAAAAGGGAACTATCGGTGTCCATTGACAACAAACGTTTGGAGCACCAACTAGCCCCCAAGTACCTCGGTGTTCGGCTGGACAGGACATTGTCCTATTAACAACACCTGGAAGAAGTGAGAGCCAAAGTGACAGCAAGGGTCTCGCTTATCCGCCGCCTCGCTGGTACATCCTGGGGTGCCTCCGCCAGGACGCTACGAATATCCACACAAGCCCTGGTGTTCTCTGCTGCCGAATATTGTGCCCCAGTCTGGTGTAGAAGCCCACATGTGAAGAAGATTGATCCTGTCATTAACAACGCCCTTCGGATCATAACTGGGTGCCTGAAGCCCACCCCCGTGTCCTACCTGCCAGTCCTAGCGGGAATTGCCCCTGCCGGCCTCCGACGAGAGGCCGCTACCCTTGCACTTGCAAGGAAAGCCCAAGAACATGACTGGCATATCCTGCATGAAACCACAACTAAGGCAGCGACCCCAAGCAGACTCAAGTCCCGTCACCCCTACAACAGGAGAGCACAAGAGATGCTTGGTTCCATCCCTGAGGACCGGTCTACAAGGGCATGGTTAGCAACTTCCTGGAAGCAGGAATGGGAGTCGGCTGAGCTCACACGTCTGCACCATCACATCCAAGACCCGGGAGATGGAGTCGAAGGAGAACATCTACCACGCCGGCACTGGACCCTACTGAACCGCCTCCCTACTAGGGTTGGTCGCTTCAAATCATCAATGAAGGAGTGGGGCCTGGCAGACAGCGCAGTATGCGAGTGTGGCGAGCCTGAGCAGACTGCCGACCACATAATCACCACCTGTCCTCTGTACAGACCTCCTTCAGAGGCTGGCCTCTTCCATGTGGGACCAGAGACGAGAGCGTGGCTTTGTGACACTGAGCTGGACATATGACGACGATACACGAAAGAAGAAGAGATATAAATAAGATAGCTTTTTATAAAGGTGTCTTATGTAAGACAAAAGAAAAATGATATCTTTTTATCAACAATGTGTCATCTTAAAGTATATGCTAGGCCTACAGTAGGGATGCATATCGTTGACTTTTTTACGATACCGATACCACTGACCAATACTCGACCGATACATATCTTGATACTTTCATGTTGCATAAGGGAAACATGTATTGAATAACACCACAATTACTCCCATGAAGCGCTTTATGATATAGTTAACATGTCAAATGAATATTAAAATTAATTGTGGGACTTCAACCTTTTAGTACTGAACAAACAATGATAAACACGTTTGACAACACGGGCTTGAAGACTGTACATTCCTGTACTCTGATTTTATGTGACAGTAAAAAATGTTTTGAGAGATTGGATGTGTTGCCGCCTTTCCCAGAAATAAAATTCTTGCAGTGGATACAGACCCCACCATTCAGACTGGCTGTCATATGCAGCCACACTTTAGATTTTCGTGCAGACATTGAGCTAATGAAAAAACGAAAGCTAACCGAAAGGCTCAGACGTTTGGGAGGAAGGTGAAGGGCGTTGCTTGGCAATCTAGCCAATCACCGAAGCCATTGCAAGACGCGCGATCTGATTGGCTGGCGGTTTGGGTGCGAGTTTAAGGATATTACGCCTCACTTTATAAAAAATAAAAAATATCGAAAGAGTATCAAAAACCGGATCTGATTTCTGTACGGTATACCGTAGCCGCCAGTAACCGGTATCTCGGTAATACAGGGAATCGGTATGCACCCCTAGCCTACAGACTAGTTTCAGTAGTAGTCAGAAGCTGTTTTAGTTCAATATATTATTAAAAGCAATCAAAGTTTGTATGTTGAATAAATAAGGTGTAAAGCTATTGCATTAAAAGATCAAAAGGAAAATTAAGAAAAATGGAAGATAACCAAAAGGAAAATTCAGATAGTACAACTTAACAATATATTGATCTTGATGTTATTGTAACACTGTAAATCTGCTATAAATTCCCATTTTCAAAAAATGTACCAGTAATCTGATTAAGATTTTTCTTTTTATCCTTTTTACGTTATCCTGTAACATGTAATCCATTACTCTCTGGTCTAAAGCCTGCTCATACAGGGCAACGGAGTCATGTCCTTAGTTGATGCAAGTAACACTTGGATTGGTTCATCAGATCTCCCTGCAATACATTAGTATAAAAATGGAATTGCATAAAGCTATTATTGCAAATGGTGGCACAATTAATGATGCAGCTCTAATAGGGTTGGAAGTAACAGACTGAATGTGTAATCAAGTGAAAGCTTTCGTAAGTTAAGTCATATGTGTGTTTGTTTAGCAAAACAGAGTTCTGGTGTGGTTTGAAGTCACTGTGACTGAATGACTGAACCTATGAGTGATGCCTTTCCTTATTCCTGCCAAAATGCCTGCCTTTAGATATTATTTGAGCTCACACAACAGTAGACTGAAACTAGGTGAGCAGAAAAGCTTTTATATGCATGCCCTTGACTCTGACTGTGTGTGTGTGTGTCTCTCCTCTCAGGTACTACGCTGACATCAACCGCCTGCCTGCCATCAGTGATCAGGATATGAATGCCTATCTGGCTGAACAGGCCCGCCTTCACTCCAGTGAGTTCAACATGCTCAGTGCCCTCCATGAGATCTACACTTACGTCAGCAAGTACAGCCAAGAGGTGAGGCCCAGTCAACACTCTGTAACATGGGAATGTGCTGGAGGGGTCCTGATGGTGTGGTTAGCCGACTGAAGTTGGAATATTTGTATGTTAAAGCAGCTATTCTTATAGTGGCAAATAATAAGATGACTATGGGTGTTTTAAAAGACAGTTATCATGAAACTCTGAACATTGTAAGAGAATGATCATGAATTAGACGGATTCAAAACTATTTAAAAACTAGTTGACATTAAAAAATAACAAGAAATGTTTAATATAAATATACAATATCTAATAACTAAGTACAGTGAAAATGTGACAAAAGATAGTTTATAAGAGTTTAATTGGAGGGCTGTGCAGATTTAAAAATAGGTAGTGTTGTACAGACATAAGCTAAATATCCAGAGTGATAAACAGTGCTCATAGTATCAAAAGAACAAGATATTGTTCTGATTATGTATGGTGAGTTTATTGTGTCAATCTGCCAGGTCGTTATCACGGGTTGTTTCTCAATGTCGAGGACGCTTGCTTGGTAGCACATGTCTTCCGAGCGTCTTGCTTCAGAAGCGAGGCAAGAATACTTCATAGCCTCGGAAAATGAAGAATGGAACAGGCGAGCAAGTGTGCAGGTGTGCGTCATATGAGAGGCCCCGCCTTACATTTTCCACCACAGATTTGGGGAAATTGGTCCGTGCGCAAAGCATTGTGGGAATTTTAAGACCTCGGAGTCTACAGATGTGTAGCCTCGAAATGTATCCAAACGAAGTACGCCGGGCTCTGTAGAATTCCAAGTATGCTGGACATTGGAACAGTACTTCGGCGGCACTCGATGACGTAGTATGCTTGAAATAGTGGCTCTGGAGCAGCTTTCCTCGAGATTGAGAAACACCCTTGGTGTTCTCAGGTCCTTGTTTTCGCAATATGCTTTCAGTTCATTACAAGCGATAGAATTACTAACAAATAATTGCTAACAAAGCACTTATATACTAATAAAGGACTGGCTTATTTAAAGCCAGTTGAGTAGCACTTGAAATGTTTTGGCTCTATGAAACCTGATGGACTTATATGATTCTGTTTTCCTCAAGTTTGTATCTTGTTGGTCGAATGCACTTATTGTAAGTCGCTTTGGATAAAAGCGTCAGCTAAATGCAATGTAATGTAATGTAATTACAGTTCATTGATAAACATTTAAATTGCCCTAAAATGTTTGGCAATGTGTGGCAACATGATGACTCGATCTATTCTTGTTCAAAGTCTTGGCCTATAAAATGTCTGAAAGAGTGAAAATCACAATTTCCCGCAGTCCAAGGTGGCATCTTCAAATGTCATGTTCTGTCAGTTGAAAGCCCAAAACTCTAAGATATGAGGATATTTCATCTACAAAGATATAACCTGGAAAAGCAGCTACTGGATGCATTTGAGCAGCTGGAACCGGTGAATGATGGTTTTGCTTATGTTTACACATATGCACCAACTTCTGATCAATCAAATGATAAATTCAAATTGACAATATATTAGGAACTAGCAATCAAGTGCAGCCACATGTACAATACTATTAAGTGTGGAAGTTGTTGGTGTTGTAAATCTTTTTTTTCTGTATTTGCATATTTGTATGATTCCTATTTCTGAACAATAAGCCTCAGTTTCATAGTTTGTGCTCTTGTGTGTGTTTTTGTGTGTTTCAGATTATTGAGGCACTGGAGCAGGATGAACAGGCCCGGAAGCAGAAGCTGGCATACAAACTGGAGCAGATCATCGCAGCCATGTCTATAGAGAGCTGAGACACCTCCATACAGACAGACACACAAACACTACAACACATACTTTAACAGATGAGTATTAAACCCATCAGCAACACATGTGGTACTCTCATGCACACGTGAACACACACATACAATCACACCTAAGCACCTATACACACACACACTCAAATCCTGATGTACACTGTCATTGCAGACTCAATGGACCTACTTTATAAACAAACGAAAGAGATTAATACACGCATACAAATGTACATACACACTCCGCAGCACACAGATCGTCCCAAAGCACGACTTTTGAATCCCATGTCATCGTTTTTTCAGAAGAAACTCCAGCAGGCAAACACCCAACTTCTAAAACGCTCCTATAGGAGAGACACAAAGACGATTTGGGCCATCACGGTTGCTGAATTCGCAGCCAATTCTTTTCTGCTGGGTAATGGTTGTCTTTGTAGTCGGTGCTTATACTAAATGTGTGTGTGTGGCATGGCTGGAGCTCTGAAGAGAACAGCACTTAATAAAAGAATGACTCAACTTGAAAAGTCACTGGAGGAGCGCAACAAAGACAGGAGCCAATTTAATGGGATGGCACGTTTCAAAATACTTTTTATATGTCAAAGATGAAGGACTCGTGTTCGCAGTACATATCACGGACTTGGACTGACATCGCTGTTTGGAGCAGAGATGTGTGTAACTTTGTGTTGCTAAGCCTTTCCCTATTGCCTTTTAAAGGCTTACTAAAGAGAAAACTAAAGACTTTGATGCCATTACTTTTCATTTCCACACTTGAAGCTCCCTGTCCTTGTTTTAAATGAAGATTTAGTGAATCGCAACTCCGCCAGGGATTGAACAGTACACAATTTGGCATTGAAAAAGGTGAGGGTCCGGCTCTACAGCACTGCAAACCTTCAAATATGAAATATATGTAGATATATTTCCGGACCAAATCCCGGGGTTTTTGTGCCAAATATAATATGTCTCATGTTTCATTCATGTTAAATGCTCCTGTAGAATTTATTAATAATACATGTCATTGTACGGAAAAGATCCCATTTAAGATAGGACATTTTGTACAGTGATGATCTATAGACCACCAATTCGGCCGTTCAAAGATAAGTGGAGACCAAATTGAACTGTAGCAGAAAGCATGATTAATGATGCTTTAAGTCTGATCAAGAAACAGATTAGCCAAGCCCTGGCCAACAGCGCCCCCCTCCCCCTCCCCTGTCTCATCAGTCATTGTTTACATTAAGCGCGATACTTGAAATTCACAAAGTGTACGAGATATTAAGAACACCTGCTGCTCCTGTGAAGTAATCCGATCAGATTAAGTTTGATGAAGGCTTTGATGCCTTATTGATCCTCCCAAAAAAATGTATTTTGAACATAACCTGGAAATCAAATGTAAGAAACTAGCTGGGAGGAGTTTTCTCCCTGGAGATATTTAAGCTGTGGGTGCCCCAAAAGAGAGTGTAGCGGTATAAAGTAGGTGATTTTAATATTTTGTCCACAGAGTGGATATGATTATTGATACATGTATTTGGATCAGCATATGGTCCTGTTGCTTCACAGCTCTTAACATCCTTCCATCTTCCAGCATAAAGTTCACGTGTTTTTATTTTGCGTCCATATGTACATTTGACCTAATTGCTTGCTGTGTCCTTGCTGCTGTATTTATAGAGTGCCATATCTTAAACTCCAAACGATTATCATGATGAAAAATCCAGTCTGAGGCATCGCGGTCATTCAGGTTTTTAGTTTTGATTGTTTGTATTTCACCCATTGCAATGCTGAAATATGAACTTATTTCTGTGCTTTAGGCTGTTTCATCGCTCAATGTAAAAGTCACATGGACTGTCTATCAGTGTCTTTCCGGAGCGCTGCTCCTTTTACCATTTCAGTATCAGTGGGGTTAATGTGCTCCCCACAGGACCTTTATTCATGCTATTCTAGAAGAGCAAGATAAAATTATATAAATAATAAATACATTTCCTGTTAAGTGTTGAAATATGGCAGAACTCATCTGTTTCATGTGTGGTTTGATGATGATAATTTATAAATGTGTTGTGCAATACACTGTCAGACATTTAAACTGTAATGTTTTTTAAACTATATATTGTTGTAAAAATATTGTACATAAAAAAACACTCCTATTTTGCAAGCAAAAGATTCACTTTGTACTGTTGTTATACATTAAATGCGCAGCTGATGAAAAGGGTTTTCGCCTGGTTTCTTTTCAGGTGATGCGAAATTCGGAATAAAGCCCTTGTTGAATAAACTGTAAAGCTTTTTGACCTTATAATACTACATTATATTAATACAATGAATGAATACAATGTCCTTGGCGTAGAGCAGCTTGGTGGTGAGATGATTGTCCAAAGCATCTTAAAGGAATACTATTCAGGAATACTGACTTTCTATGTTGTTTACTTCAGAGACAAAGGTCTGCTGTTGAGAAATGACGTCAGTTCCGAGCCAATATGAACTCTGCCACACATGACTAGATAATCTATTCTTATTACGTTAGTGGACCACTAGCATGCTAATTTGACAGTTAAGCTATTATTGGCTTTCCTTGAAAGGGTTTTTCTTCAACATTAACATAATTGTTGGACACATACACAAACGGCATTAGCCATCCTCTGACATCACCACCCGCACGCTTTAATCCAGCTTTGCATCAATGAATTGCTGCAGGTCTCCCTTGAAAAAGAGATCGTTGATCTCAACGGGATTTTCATCTGGTTAAATAAAGGCTACAAATGAGGAATCCATTACCTAAGAAAATAGTAACCAACTGATGCTCCAACATTATTCATCATAAAACAGTAAAGTTGTGAGTTTTTTTTTAATAACTGACAGAATATTTGTGGTGCTTTGGTATGTTTTGGTGCTCAAAATGTAATATTTGAACAAATTAACCACACATTTGGGGACATTATAGTTTGTAATATAGTAATTTAATATAAAGTGTTATTTGAAAAGATTGTATTTGTTGTTGTGCTTTCTTTGCTTTCACCGGCCAAGGGACTACAGATATGATTTAGCTTAAAACCAACATTTGATACGGTCCAACAAAAATTGTGACAATTATGTTTAGAAGTGTCCACGACCCCTTCTAATTTAATACATATATAAGAAACAATGTATTTTTATAGAAAATTTCACACACTTTTCATTTGGCAGAAATTGGGCGATGTGCTACCAGGTTGGAATAACAGGTAAGGTACACAACATGTACCAATGGAACAGTCAATTCATACCTTGTTTATAATAAAGTAAAGATAGTGGTATAATTAATTCCGGGAGTAACATTGTTTGTGGAAAATGTTTTTTGCAATCATACAAAGGAAAGCTGGTGTTTACAAATGCAGGAAAGGGTATATTTGAACATGCCTAGTCTGGCCAGAGTAGCACATTTGATATCAAAGAAGAGTTGAGCTTGTGAAACAACAAAGAAATATCCTGAAGGACATAAGCTTCCCTTTGAATTTTATGAAAGACAACAGCATGTGATGAGCAGCCCATGGATTGAAGACCGGTTTACACTGGCGTCATACTGTGACAGTATTTGGTGTGGCATGTGAGCACCATATAGGGGCTCATGAGCACTTGCCATAAGGAGCGCAGGATTTATTATTCATGTTTAACCCTCGGGGCTGTGGGCAAGCAGAGCAGAGGGGGGAGGAGGGGGAGGACTGCATCTCTCCCAACATCCAACCCAAGCTTTACCTGTCAGATCCACGTGGGGGTGGTATCAATGTATCGGAGGGTCCTCTGTACACCTGCCAGGCTATAACCCCTCGTCTTTCCTCTATTCTCTCTTTGCTTGTCAGAGTGCCAATCAGCAGCCAGACATTCCCCCTCACTTGCTTCACACACGCAGAGGAGGATCATTAGGACTCAAACCTCCTCTTCTGACAGCGGAGCGAGCCACGGGATATCGTCTTGATGGACACCGTGGTTGGATGGTGCCTCACAGGTTTATGGAGCTACTGCAGCCATTAGAAATCCATTATTCTCCTATCAACCCCTGACAGGTGTCACAATATCTCAATCATGCCTTCGCCAATGATTGATTTTACTACATTGTAACGTACTGTACAGTAAAATAACAGCTCAACACACTTTTCTCATTTCTGTGAGATCGCTTGTAGAACTCATCCTCAGCTTCTCCTGCTGCCCAGGATATTTCATTCAGTGGAATATTGACCTTACACAAAGACTGCAGATCTTGAAGAATAATTCAAACTGTGGCTCTTACTGTGGAGTGAATACTGAATGGAAAAAAGGCCTTGGATTTTCTATACACCTTCAAAAATCCAACAGAGGCGCCTTTCAATTTCCTTCAGCTTCAGCAAGTGGTTAAAGGAATATATGTAAATAGAAAAGGGATGGACACAATAACAGGAATGCTCACGATATGTCTGTCACAAGGTGAGTGTTTAACAAGAAAATTAACTATTAGTCAACTATTACTTGTTTAAGATTTCAGTTGAAGGCATCACAATCATTTGTAAGCCAAATTCTAAGTATTCCCTGATTTCATACCCTACATTTTAGGACTCTATCCTTTCCTTTGTTATATATATATCCGTAAGTGTAACGTCTGTGGGTTTAAGACTGGATTAGGGTGGCCGACAAGTGCAAACACGCTAGAAAAAAAAAGTCCAATTGTGAGAATCCTGCTGCACTTTCAAAACAGATTTGCAAATAAAAAAACACTACTTTGACAAAGCACATGCAAATGAAGAAACATCTTCAGCAACTTGACAACACATGCGCAGCATTTAGAAAACATTCACCAACTTCAGAAACATGCGTAGCTTTTACTAAAATCACTGCCAACACAAAACCCTGTGAATAAAAAAGAAACACTGCAAGAAGCTCAAAGCACGAGGGAAACGGAGACACTGAAACGTGAAGCCCACAGCTGGGACCGGAGCGCTTGTTGACATTCTGGGATTATAATGTTGGCATACTGTCACTGTTGGCAGAGTGAGATTGTTTCATTATTGTAAGTGTTTTGTCAGTATATTTGAAATGAGGAGGTTAGCTAGCTATCGAGCTTACAGTAGACCTGCAATGAAATAGGAAGGAATACTGCGAACACATTGTGAAAATAAGCCAATAAAACGTACATTTTAGGTAGGTTATTGTGCTAGATTGTATTTTAACTGAATTAACACATCTTTTTGTAAACAGAGGATGCTTTTCCTTGGTGGCTTTAAGCTGGGAAGAAATCCAGCATCCACTATCAGTAGGTCCAAATACAAATGTGTGGTACCTTTGTTTTTTCCTTTCCATAATGGACACTCCCATTACCGGACAATCAAGCTTCAAATTCCCTGAAGCACCTCTGGAACGCAGCCTCCAGGCGATGGAGGTCTGCAAGCATCAGTCTCCTGCTGCTTTAATTAAGTGCAGACTGCCTTATCAGAGCGCACACAATCAAGCAGGCTCTGATATGTTTGTTCTTGCCAAGGACAAAAGACAGCTGTCTAAACCAGGAAAGAAATCCCAGATGACTGTATAGAATACATCTCAAGGGACCACAGTAACAACTTGTTTCAGGATTTATTGGATGAGCTAAACCATGACGGCATTTTATTTCCCCAATTTGCTGTAGTAATTTCTCTTTTGTCCACTAGCAACGACACTTGCAGACTCTGGTCATAACTGCCTTCATTATTTACCACCCAAGTATAAAAGCTGAATTATTTACATACACTCCAGTAGAAATGCTTCCAGTTCCACACAAATATACAGCATGAACAATAAATTAATGATTTAATGATGTGCTGGTGAAGCTAATGTCCAGAAGGTTGATCCGCAACACTCCAGTCAAGTGGTGCCATCTACTGGCCAGAGTTATTATCACAGTTTTTATTTATTTCACTGTTAATTCATCTGTTTGAGCACACACTGGGAGAGGGAGAAGAATCATGTGACAGGCCGTGAAAATGTGGTGCATGAAGAGGACAAAAAGTGTCTGTTTTAGTTTTAGCAGAGGGTGTGTGTGTGTGTGTAACATCTGCAGAGCCATGTGGTCGTTGAGTTCATGACCTTTATAAACACAGGCTTTAGTCAAGACACAGACCTATTCTGAACCCACACTCTGCCCTTAGAATGTGAAGGACTAACACCGGGGTAGACCTTGACACCAATTTCGTTTTGAGAAGAAGTGACTTCATCTTCTTTTCTTTACAATTTATTTTGTCCTCTTCCCGCTCACTGGAGGACAGAGACCTCGCTACTCAGCCCAAGGAGGTAACGGTCAACATTTGCTGCTGTTTGAAATTAAATCTCCTCCCACTACTCCCCCTCCTCCGCCCCTCGCTCTCCCTCCTTCTCCAGCACTCCTGAAATAACTATAAGACAGGCTCCCTCCTTTGTAGCCAATCAGTGAGCTTGGTGGGATTTATGACACCCATTTTCAAAGCGCATTTAAAAGTGTATTCCAACTTGTATGTGTTTTATGGGATTGTGTAGGCTTGCGTATGTGTTTGTACAAATAAATAAACCAACATTTAATTAAAAACACCCTCTCAGTAAGAGCTTTAATTAATTAATCTAGCAGCGCATGCCAATTTCTCTCCTCGTTTATTCATTAAGTCAAAGCAGAACCATGAATCTCAATAGATAATATATATGTTTAATTATGAACGGGGGCAAAGAAATGGTCTTCACACAAAAGATCGTCACATTAGACAAGATGCCGTTTTACAACTTCCTGTCATATGTCCTGCCTGGGGCTCGAATGGTCCGCTGCTGGTGAACTCTTGCTCTCAAACAGAATAAAAGCTAAAACTGAGAAACGTATTGAACTATAAACAAAAGTCACTGTCTCTTATAAGATACTGAACTTACATGTATCAGTAAGACTATACATTCTGTGAAAAAGAATTCCTTTGAGAATATGACCTATGGCATATTCTTTTAATTAGCTCTCTAGTTAGTGAGGAGGATCTGACTTTTAAAGCAGATTCGTCAGCCAAGCCTCAGCGATCATTGGGTGTCCAATTAGCTTAAACTTCCATGACCGCAAAAGAAGTCTTCATAGATAAAACACTTCTGACCTTTTGTCTAAAAGACATCCCAGAAGTAAAATATTACAGTAAGATTCAAGCTATGCTGTTACTTTCATCTGCAGAGTTTGGCTGTCTTTAGCTCATTATCAGAATCAGAACTGCTTTAGTCGTCCCACTGAGGGGACA